CAGGAGAGTCAGTGTCTCTGTCAGTGCAGTCAAGCCTCTTCTTCTCTGTCTTTGTTGTTTACTGTGGCTTTTACTTTGGTAACAGTTTCCACCTTGGGGCTCAGAACTCGGGCAACCATTTTTACTAAGAATTAAAACTGTCAAATGTTTGGACAACAACATTTGTTACTGTAGATTAATTTTTATAAGTTAACAAATAAACCTCCTCTATTTGTCTTTTGTTACATTATTGATTTTGTTATAAATGCAGCTATATCGATACCTGATTATAATGTTAACAGATGATGTGCAGATCTTAAACTATTTCGAACAAGTAACATTGAATGTTATAACCTTGCAAGTTTAGCAGGCTTTGTGTTCTGCATGTACGCCGTCCTAGAAGGCAAACATTAAATGAGAAATGTGGAAATCTCATGTCTAAATAATATAACATTAATTATAATAAATGTTTTTGAATTCAGAACTGACTCTTATTCTTCACACATCCACATGATATGTAATCTTTTAATCTGTTAGAAATATTACATGTAAATCTGTAATATACCCCACTTTATTTAAATTCTGTATAGTATATTACAAAGATAGTCTCAGGGAAAATTTTGTTTTTTTCCACCATGTACACTTTTTCCTGCAGTGGGAGACGTTTCTGTTAGATCAGTAAAGTACTTTGCACTTTGAGCAAATGATGGATCACATTCTATGCCTTCCAGCAGCAAATCCCAAAGGAGATCCCATCATTTGTGAACGACTGAAGATGAAATTTCATATAGAAGCTGCACTTGTCTGTCTTGTAGAATTATCAAGAAAGGCAGGTAGAACAGAGGCTTTATTGTCGATAGCAATGCCTTAAATTGGTCAATAGTACAAAGTACTGTTACAAACATAGGAGGTAGTCGACACTGAGTCTTCACTGAGCATTGTAAAATGCATAGAGAAATACTATGGCCATACTGACTGTTTCAAATGCCTCAGAGGAGAAACCAAAGCTCCATGCTTTCTGTTTGCAGTGCAGAATTGTACCATTGTTGTGCTATTGCAACTTCACATTTGCTTAAAGTATAAAAAACATACATGTAATAATATTCAATCCAAGAAATACATATTCATTAGTATAGAACAAAATCACAATAATAAATACTTTATATTGTATGCTTATGATGCTGATTATTGACTTATGTAACCCAATATGGACATTTTACACAAAGTTTGGCAATTATATGATTCTTGTTGGATTACTTAAGTAAATTAACAAGTTTACATCTAGTTACAGATAAATGACGGGTGTCTCCCCTCCTCACCCTCTTTCATGTCCTCCATGAACATTTTTGTTGTGCACTTGTGCTTCCTCCAGCTCCATGATCCCCTCTCATTAGCAGGCACTCCGTGGATTACTTGCCCGCAGCGCCACCCCAGCCAGAGTACTCCAGGCAAAGGTGGAGAATTTTGCAGGGCATGTTCCAGCTCTGCTGATATATGTGGATGCAATCCGGTGAAGCCGCTTTGCACCAAAGGTGTTGTAGTGTCCTGGGAGGACTTGGTCAACCTGTTTAATGAATTTTCCAGTTATTAAACACTTTAAAATGATGTACAGTATGTGGTACAAGAATTTCCAAACCATCTGTTGTGGTACACTCAAGGATCGTTTCTCTGTGTACCAATCTGTATCCAGCAGTACGTGGTACGTAGCTCTGATATAAGGATGATTATTACATACAGCAGGAATATAAAGTCAGTTAAATCTATTGCTTTGCATGGAAACTACTATCTTTTCCATTCAACACATTTATATTCTACAAAAAATTGTGTTGTCATTATAATGTAAAATCCGATTATCATTGAGTGTAGTGAACTAAAATTTACTTGACACTTCTGTTGAAAAACACCATAACAGGAGGCAGACACCATCTCCACATTTAAGAGTAGGCTTAAGACTTTCCTCTTTGATAAAGCTTATAGTTAGGGCTGGCTCAGGTTAGTCCTGAACCATCCGTTAGTTATGCTGCTATATGTCTAGATTCCCGGGGTTTGTCCTATGATGCACTGAGCTCCTCTCTCCTCTACTTTCTCTCCCTCTGTATGCAACCTCATCCCATTATTGCATGTTACTAACACAACTTCTCCCCTTTCTGGTAGTCTTGTGCTTTCTCGTCCCTCTCCTCTCTCCTCCATATCACTTCCTGCAGGTTTTCTGGCTCTGGAGCTGTGGAGTCTGGATCTGTGGCTGCGGGTCACCTGCTGCCCCCGTGTTCCTGTTCGACACCCTCTGCTACAACAACTATTGTTACTAGTCCTATTATTATTATTGTTATTATTGTTATTATAATCATTAACATTACGACTGTTACCATTAACACTACTATAAATATCTGTACCATTTTTTCATTTAGTCTATAGCAACATCACCTTTACTGTCTGTACCTCTGTGTGTATATTGTGTAGGCTGCCTCCCTCCCCCCCTCTCTTCTTCCATCCCTCTCTTTTTCTCTCTGTTCCTCTCCTGCCCTCTCTCTCTCTCTCTCTCTCTCCTTCACCCCAACCGGTCGAGGCTGATGGCCGCCCACCCTGAGCCATGGTTCTGCTTGAGGTTTCTGCCTCTTAAAAGGAAGTTTTTCCTTGCCTCTGTCGCCTAGTGCTGCTCTTGGTGGGAACTGTTGGGCTTCTGTAAATAGCATCATAGAGTACGGTCTAGACCTGCTCTTTTATGAAAAGGGCTGTGAGATAACTGTTGTTGTGATTTGGCGCTATATATATAAAATTGAATTGAACAGGACAATGACATTTTCATTATATATCTACTATGTTTTGTTTTAGGAGATGGGATTGGATATCTTGAGTTATCCAACTGAGGATTGGAGGAACAATGAGCTGAAATGGATAGGCCAACCTCTGGTGTGTTTCAGTGTGATACCTGTTCGCTGTCCACCAGCCCCACCAGCCGCTCACAACTGCTGATGTAATCACTGACGTGGCTGTAGGGCAACCAGTCAATCATGGCGCCATCATACACCACATCTCCACTGAAAAGCATTTTATTGTCACGGTCGTGGAGGCAAATGCTCCCCCGAGAGTGACCAGGCATGTGGAGCACCGTCAGCTGTCTGTCACCGAGGTTGATGACATCGCCTAGACAGGAGAGAGGGAGAAGTAGTATCATAGTCACACATACAAACACAATATAACTTGTAACTAAATCCTTATGTTCCTCATAATTTGGCTGGATGGAATGAAGCCAGGGTTATATTTGTGTGTCACCTCGTATCACCATGATGTGCAGAGTCCAGGACATTCAGTATATCATTGAAACGGAAAACTGAAACTGACACATCAAGCAAAGATATTCCAACTGCAATGCAGCAGTGGCTCTGACACAGCAGAACAAGTCAGTGTATTGACCGGAAGTGCAGAAATTACTCTGTGAGAATACTAAAGACAATAACTGGATAAACGTTTTGGTCCAAACTCCAACAAAAACATAGCTACTCTTCCCATACATTGAGATAAAAGCTTTGTGCAACAACTATCATGAAATGAGTGATAAAGCTTAGTTGTCCTGAGTTTAGTCCATTAGTGATTGATTTGGTGTGTATATGCTAACAGCACTTTGGGTGAAGGCTAAATCAGTGCTATGAGGTTATTAATATTTGGGATGCTCTCCAGAAGTATGGCCCATTTCTTCTTCTTTCTTTCTTGGAAGTAACAGAATCCAAATTCATCAGCACACTGGCTTAAAATAGAGCTGCTCTGCAAATACAGTTAAAGAATGAGCATATTAGCTGCAAAAACCTCATTTCTTCTTGTCTTATCTCATCTCACAAACAATCAACACAGTTTCCTTAGAGTGCCCCCCCCCCCCTTTGATTAATGACCCGTCTCTGCACTTTTTACATAGCCCAGCTCATGTTATGTAATACTACATTTACACCTGTATAAGCTACCTCTCACCTCATATTGTTCCTCACCACCGCACATGTTGTATGCCTATATTTCTGACACTGCATGTGTAGGTTAGTATGTGACTTGGATTTATTTAGCAAGTCATTATTGGTCTGAATTCATTGTGCGGGTAAATCCCCCAGTGGAGATAAAAGGTTCTGTATGGTAGAGCCTAATGTGCAAACTACAGCTCTTGAGTCCATTGAATATCATCTAATGGTATCGACCATTATGCGTATCCCTAGACGAATGCATTTAGACCTTATGAGGTGGAGTTTTATCACAGATCCACCCCCCTAAAACAAATCTGCAAAGGCTGCATCTCCTACCTACCCTCCTGCAGTATGTGTGTGGGCTGCACAGCCTTCACTTTGTAGTGCCTTGCCCTCCATCCTGGACTGGGAGCCTCGGCTATCTCCCTGTCGCTGAGCCAGGTGACCGTCTCGAAGTTGTCTCCGTTGGCCAAAGCATCGACCTCGGCGCTGTGGACGCCCACCTGTTGGAACTGATGCAGACCGCCCGAGTGGTCGAAGTGGGCGTGGGTGGCGATGGCCAGCAGCGGGTTCTTCCTCTGCGGATCCTTGCCGAGCAGCCCCTTGCCGTCGATGTAGTCAGGTAAGCTCCTCAAGCCCAGACCAGTGTCTATCACCACGTCCTGGTGTGTGCCGCGCAGCAGCCAGATGTTGGCCCGGTTGTCCGACTGGTAGAATCGCTCCTGGATCCAGAAGAGTCCGTCTCCGAGCGACTTGTGAGCGTACCAGTCGGCTGCAGACATCCCAGTTCATGCACGTATCGAAGTAACCTGCTGCGGGTTTCGTGCTGTCAGCTGATTTTTCGGCGGAGAGGTGTAACTAGCTAGAGGTGATATGTTTTCATTGAGGTTAGTGTGATGGTGGCCGCCGACACACCCTTGTTGGAGAAGAGCGTGCTCATTGGGCGAACTCACGAGTGACGACAGCCTCAAGCGCGCAACTATTGGCTTTAAATAAACCACGCCTTCTCAAACGTCACGTAGGGGAGGGGCGAGTTAAAGGCACATTTACGCACATACTGCTGAGTCGTGTGTGCTTCGTTTTCCATGCTGGTGTTAGCACAGCCGTTCAAATCTGCCTTAGGTTTACCTTTAAATTTAGTGATTTCAGGAGTTAGTTTACGTCCGAACAATAGATAGAACTGAGTAGCTGAAAGCTAATGACAAGTAAACTCTAAAAGTGAAAACATAGAGACTTGGTAAAGGCTGAATGCCGCCGAATAGCCCTGAAATACACAAACTTTAACGTTCCACATTAGGAGCAATTCTCTAATAGTCCCATAGTGAGTATTACAGCTTCTTGTAAAGTTATGTGTGGTTGTGTGTATGTGTGGTTGAGTCTCTGATGCAATATATATATGTTGACCAACGCTGCATAGTCTGCATAAGGCTATGAAAGCAGCTGTGGTACAGTAACTTGTTGTGTCTACACGTGTTTCACAGTGAAGTTGACTGGAGACATGTGGACTCTGTGCTGCAGGTACAGAGGAGGCTTGCAGCCATGGCAGGCAAGGGTCGTGGAGTAGCTGCCTTTACCTTCAACATTGACGCTCTGGGCATCGGCAGGGGCAGCATGCCAGAAGCCAGGGTGGGGCCCAGCCCGCTGTTTCCAGTAAGTACCGAGCACACTCACTCACACACACAATGACATATCACATTGCAGTATACTCAGTTCACCCATAAGCCCTCCAAGTGTTGCATGCCAAACATTTCAGGGAGGGTGAAATTCAAATCTGTAACTGCACCAGTATTTTTATTTTTTTTGACAATTCAAAGAGATGTGTAGGTTCTGTTATGATGTATTTAAATTAAAGTACAAGCCATGAAAAATTTTGCAAATATTTGCAAAAACAGCTATGTGTCATGGCCATGTTAAGAGCCTGCACCTGTTTAAAAGTAGTTTCCCATTAAGTACGTCTTCCTAGAGCATCCTCCTATAGGAGATGAACTATCAGTTGCTCCAGGATGCGTCTATTAATCTCTGCATGGTGCTGAAAATAGGGCAAAAATTACTTTTGGACCCAATTGACTTCTCTTCCTCATATTTTCTGTGCATTCTGTAGCTATCCTCATAAATTTAAGTGCCTTTCAAGTACAATACACACGGCACATTACACATGACAGCTTTATTATATTTTGCACACAAACCCAGAGACCAACCATGACATTTTGATTTGGTGGTATATATTCCTAAGCAACTTACCACATGTTACCACATTTGAGGCCTCTAAGGGTCAGTTTGTCCCATTTAATTTTAAGCCGGGCTTTATATGTGACACTTGTTTAGGATGAGTTAAGGAGGTTCTGTAATTTTTTTTCTTTACACAACGTTTGCAGGATACCGTGTAATATAATAAATAATAATAACACCATTTGTTTATTTTTCAAGTTAAGCACTTCAGTATCCTTCACTTGTGCTTGACTGAGAGTTTGTCCCCCGGTCAACTGATAAACCAATTTTGATCATTGTACCAAAATGGGCTGTGCACACATCAGTTTGGCACCATTTTACTATACAGAGTTTGACTGTAAATACTCATATTGGATAAAACTAAAACGTAATCTGTTGAAGAATAAATTGGAGATACTAAAACTGCATCTATAAATGTACAGCTTTTTCAATATGTTGCCACATCTGCTCCATAGTGTTAATCACACACATATCAAACTCTATGGAAAAGTTATAATTGATTGCTGTTATCTCCCTTCCACTATCTTATCCTCATGCAGAGCACAGACTTTAAGCCAGTGCCACTGAAAGCTGGCGAAGATGAGGACTACATGCTGGCCTTAAAGCAGGAGATGAGGGGAACGATGCAGCGGCTACCACACAACATCAAGCCTCTGTCCAACAAAGCAGGTGAGGGGGAGAGTAGTGCATTAGAAACCTGACATCCAATAGAAATGTTATGGCAAGACAATTGGCTGCTGTCAGTGAGGATAATGCAGCACTTAGGAACTGAGACATTTTATTAGGGTCGTATCTGGGGAAAGGCAGATTTATGGCAGAAATATTAAGTTACAGCTGCTGCCTCATCTGGTGGTTTTAATATGATTTCCATGGTCTGGCTTGATGGGGCCTTTTCGAGTTCCCTTATTCAGCGATGAGCTAAATATATCCATAAAAGGTAGTCAATTAAGGTTTTTCAGAATGCCTTTAAACGTGCTAACTGTAATTACAGTGGGACTTGATAGATCATGTCTATAAAAGTCACTCATTTTGTTTTGGGACAAACAAAATCGTATATACAGTACATATATGCAGCCAATAGTTGCTCACTCTATACTTAAAATTATGATTTACTGCTGTTGCTAAGAATAAGGATTAGCAACCAGTGTTTTGTTTTTTGTGTTGATACCCTCATGAAACTGCTGAATGTGATGACTTGTTTGGGGGTGTAATGAAGCAGAACATTCTCTTTGTTTACATGAAACAGAAGTGGAGAAGTACACGGAGCGATACCTGAAGCAAAGCCAGATGGAGGATGAGGAATGGACTCCAGGTACTTGCGTAACTTAAGCATAACAAACTGTCATGCAATTTGAGCATATTGAGGGGGAAAAAAGGAAAATAATGGAAATATGATTCCTAATATTTTAGACTGGAACCTCTTCCCAAAAGAATTGATGCCCCAAAAGAAAAAACCTTGTGCTAAACCAGGTAAATTTAAACCATTATGCATGTGATAAGATTCCCTTTCTGTGACTGTAAGAATACAGACCTAATGATTAAATCCAACAGGCATAAAGAAGAAAACTGTGAAGATATCACGCAAAGACGCAGAAGATCTGCTGAGTAAATTAGATGTAAGCTTTTTTTCCCCCGATTGTTTGTTCTGTGTTCAACTACTGAGTGTTACATGTGTTAATTTGTGTGATTTATCAAATACAACTATGTATGTCCTTCTGAGCAGGCAAATGCTTAAATAAGTAATTTAATGTTAATGTCAACATTTCAGGAACTGGCAAAGAAAGATGACGGGAACCCAGAAAAATCAGACGATGAGACCGAAAAGAAAACTGAGGATAAGAATGAGGAGGAAGAAATTGAAGCGGAAGAATATGATGAAGAGGATATTGAAGAGGTTAGATTACAAATGACAACCTCAATTCCTTTATTCCTAACTGTGTTCAATGCAAACTGAATGTGGTCGATATGTAAGCAGCAGACTTAATATTTCTACTTTTATTTCTTTCTAGGAAAACGACTACATTGACAGCTATTTTGACAATGGCGAAGATTTTGCTGCAGAAAGTGATGATAATATGGACGGTGAAGGAACATACTGAGAGGGTGTCACTCAAGCATGCGTACACGGTTGAAGTTGACAATCGTCATGTGATTGTTTCTTTTGGTTAAATATTGTACATAAGTTGGGAATACTGTTTAGCAGAGTGATAGTGGGTTTGTTAAGTTTGAGCTTGAGACGCAAGCTGTCCGTAAAGGCATATGTAAATAAGAGAAGCCAAACTATGTGCACACTGGCAATAATTTATTCAAAATAGATGTATTTATTTTTCAGCCTGTAGCACATTTCCACAGGTTGAAAGGCACATACTGTCAACAACACTTAATGCTTTTTCATGAAGTATCACAGTGATAAAATAAAAGGGCTATATAACAAAGTGTAAAATTTCACATAATGAGTATGAGTCATTGTGGGAATATTGTGCATTTCCCATTTTCCTCACCATGCTCTTCGAGGTTTTTTGGAATGACAAACAGGCAAGCTAAAAGCAAAAGATATTAAGCAACTTTCATGGAAATCCATAAACCTAATTCAACTTGTCTCAAATACTGATAGTGTAAATAAAGGCTAATGTTCAATAGTCTTGAAATAAATTAATTCTATATTAAACACAAAGGCAGTAATCATACCTTTCCAACAAACAGCATTGGACACCATTTCTAACATGGCAAAAAATTTCTACAGTTTGATTAAACAGTAAGAACTGCTTTAAAACCAAATCCACAAAATTAATGAATCTCTTAGGGTGTGACCACTGGTCGCATCACTGAATAAACAGAATTGCTTGTCTGTCTCGGCTTGTTTTCAAAATCTTTGGACACAGTTTGTGGGTAGCTTACAAAGAATGCAACAGCATAGACGATAACAAACATTCTATTGGGTACATTGATTGTTAACAATAAATCCATCATTCGAAACATTTCAGCCAAGCATCTTTTCCGCCCATTTATAACTGAAAATAGGGCTGCAACTAAGGATTATTTTCATTATTGATTAATCTGTCCATCATTTTTGTGATTAGCCCAGACCAGTCCAAGATGACGTCCTCAAATGTACATTTGAGTAGCTGGAATCTGAAAATTAGGACTTTTTTTCTGACAATGGCTTATCAAAATAGCTGCCGATTATTTTAATAATTTAATAGTTGACAACTAATTGATTAATCAATTAATACTTACAGCTCTACTTGAAAAGTATATAAATGTAAATGAACAGACAAGGGACGACTGTGGCCACACCCTTATTCTAGTCCTATTCCTGAAAACCAGACAGATTGCATTGATGTATAAAGTCTATAAAAACTACTCAAAATGGGAACATCCACCCAGTTTTATTAGGTCTCTGAGTAAGCAACAAATTTGTATGTAAAGGTAGAATCCCTTGTTATGTTTTCTCATGTCCTCCGTGTTCTCTGTCTCCTGCTTTGTCCCCACCGGGTCCCTGTTGATCTCCATTACCCACATTTCCATCAAGGTATCCAGGGCCAGGCCCTGCATGTTTGTCTTCTCCAACAGCAAGGTCACCATTATTATTGCCATGGTGATCTTCAGGACGCATGTTGACATTAGCTTGTGTAGGAATGCCATGATGGCTGACGTCAGTTTTCATGAGAACCTCATAGTACAACAGATAAAACACAGGTGTGACAATACCAACGACCAGCATGATGGCCACAGCTGTCCACCACCTCATGCCCCAGTCTGCTCCATAATAAGGGTCCTTTCTCTGTGCTGGTTTGTACTCTACTTCTCCTAGCAGTGGCTGCGTTTGCTGCAGCGTTAAGGAGGACACGACCTCATTCAGACTGCTCCGAGACGGACCTGTGGATTTCACCAGCCGTTCAATGTCCTTGTCCTTCTCCAAGAGGAATCCTTCCACACTGTCGGTGGAAGAAGAAGAGTCTGTGGAGGACTCAGAGGGGAGTGAGGTAACGGTTGAGATCTGGGGCAGGCGCCTCCCACCTGAGGGGGAGGCAGACGGGAGAGGTCCAGTGCTGAGAGTCTCAGTGAGGACGCTAAAGCGCCTCACAGGAATCTTGACCGACCGCAGGGCAAAGAAGTCCTGCTCTGTCAAGAGGTTGTTTGCACGCTTAATATCAGCCACCTGAGAAATGCACAAAAGAAAGATGAATTTACTATGCTGCTTACAAAGAAAATGTTTTTATTAAAAGATATTTCAGGGGGGCAGGTGCTCAACCAAGTGAGCTAACCATGCTCCCTTACAGTTAGTGTTATTTTACATTCACTGTCAGCTAAATATTCTGGATTCTGAGTCAACCAACAAACTAAAATGGCAGCCTTTCCACCCAGATTAACACACAGAGTTGTAAATATTATCCATATGATTATGGTGGAATTAAACATAGGGTATGTAATGACAATTCAACAAGTTTTCCATTAGAAAAACTACCATGTTATTTGGGCGCTGGTAAATTGTACTGACCGTTCTAACTCAATCAAAAAACTATAATTTAACAACCAAAGACATTTTAATTAGCCTGTCCATATTGTATACTTGTCTACAATTTTAATACAATTTGAGAACTTAAAAGGTCAATGTTTCTGTTGAAACAAGTAGACCTTTTAAGTTGATGTGGTGAACTTCTGCAGCAACATTATCAGTCCTGTTTCTGGCCACCTGGCAAACGTAAATATTCACTCTCCTTTTAGCTCCGTTCTTTGTCTCAGCCAACTCCTGATGCTTCACTATGCCTGCCAGCTAACTGTGTCTATCTTTTGTTTGGTGCTGAGCAGGTAGTGTGGAATCGGTATTATGGGCCTTCACAGTATTTAGAGCTTCTCGTTAGAAAAAGTTGTTTCCTGAGGCTGACATCACTGTGAGGGCAGTAATAGTGAACCAAAACAGCAAAACAGTTGGTTGCGTATCGGACAGCTAAACAATAAGCTGAAACTTAGTTTTCTTAAATGATAAAATACAGTAACAGAGATACAAAGAAGACATCTTTAACATTTAACATTGAAGCTTTCAATGTTCAGTCTGGATCTAGATATTTATAATGCTACATCTCTCATTGTATAAAAAAAAGTAAGACACAGATTTATCAATAATAACTGTTAATTGTGTAAAGGGCCAAGAATGAAAGAATGTAGTCCACTTTATCATGGGAATGAGGAAGAGTTGAGCGGGTACTACTGGGTAAGACACACACACACACACACAGATCTGAGCGCAGACGTACTGAGCAATGGTACTGCAGGGAAATGCTGTTCAGGGTGTCACCCTCCTGGATATCTCTGGTCAGGTAGATGATATCCTCCATCTTTTCTCTGGAGGTGCTCCTCCGCAGCCTCTCTCTGCCACGTGGCCGCAGCTCACAGCTCTCCCCATCCTCCTCTGACAGGTCATTCTCTGAGCCATTGTTTCCAAACAAATAGGCATGGCCGCCATTGGCAGGCTGCACTATGGAGGCTGACTGGAACCCATAGAGCTGGTTTCTACTGGACATTTTTTCTTCACTGTGTTGGGAAGAGCAGGGATAGGCTTGAGTAACAAATCCTGAACTTGTACAGCATATTCTTCCGGAATACCATCAAGGTATCCTTAACCCTGAAAGAAGATAACAAGGAAAACACGTTTGAACTAAGCTAAACAAATATTTATTTAGGAGGATGGCTTAACGGTATGGTACTATTACTAGCAATAGATGTCATTGTTTTCCCCAGCTTAACAGCATGGGGGAGAGACTACAGTGGACATCCATAAAAAAAAAAATCACCATTGTACTATTACAGCCATCAATGTCATACCAAATGTGACCACTGTTTCAGATAAACTTACAAATATGAATCAAATAAACTACAACCAACAGCTATAAAACGGCTTGGCCTTTGTGAACTTTATGCCACCATGCAAGAGGAAACATGCATTTCTCTCTCTGAAACCTGCAATTAACAGGTGCAGGCAGCAGTGAAGTATACTTGCTAATGATACGTTTCTCACATTGTTCAGCATGCTGGGAAAAAGTAAAAAACCTCTCTGACAGTCCTGTGCATTCAGGCTAGAGTTAAACTAGATAAGATTGGACCTCTTTCTGTATGACAAGTGACCTTACAGGCAGTACATTCAATCAAAAGATGTCAAGGTCCTCTGTTTATATAACATGTATACTGATACCTATTACGGCCATGGTACATCACCAGCTAATGTGACATCTTGTCACACAACGTTACCCATCTTTTCACCTATCACAGCTTTAACCTGTGAGCAAAGCAGCCTCTGGTTACTAACGTTACGTTACTTGAAACAAAATACCAGGTTTCTGACCAAGGTAAGGTAATGTTAGCTAAGTTAGCAGCTAACCATCTAAGCTGTTAGGACACTAACAATCATCTTCTTTATCAAGCATGCAGGACTGTGATTATCGTTAACTCACTAGCTACGCTTGCAAAGAGTTACTGTGGCAAAATTCCCGGTTAGCAACTAACGTTACTACTATAAAACATACACCTCAGTCGATGTCGTAGTCCATTAGGAATTATTACGTAACTTTAGAAACACGTCTGTTTAAGCCACCAGAGCAATGGCTTACACGCACTGTCAGGTTGGTCTTGTAGCGATAGGAGGGTGGTGTAACTTACAGCGCAAGTCCACATTAAGCAAACTAAGCATCTACACCGGCTAGGCTAGTGCTAAGTAGCTTTATGTGGCTAACGTCAATAGCTAACTAAGTTGCAGTTTATCGGTCAGTTGTCACAAGTAAAGAATGATATATTTGGAGAAAGTCTACTACCTTTACCTGAAGAAGGTTGACACCGATCAATCAGTTGACCTGAGTCATATCCATACTTCCACGGGATTGTCTTCTCTCTCACCTTGCCTTTGGTTAGTAAACTGGTACCTGCCTGCTAGCTACTGTTGAACTGCTCACGCCACGTCAACAGAATATTTACGTAATGACGTAACCACTGGCGCTTCTAACACAGCCCGCGAGATGGCGCTAGAGGTCAAGTTATTAGCTTTTCAAACGTCCGTGGCTCGCTGGGTGGAGCTGTCCACCACCACATGGAGCACAGTTGAGAGACAAATGGGATTAAAACATCTCCTCTCATTAGGCAGCGACCGGGGAACGAGCTGGAGTCCCTGAGTAGCTGCAAACTAATCTTTCTGCTGGAACAGCGAGTCGTGTGTGTGTACAGTAGCAGTTGCTCATACTCTCACATGGCTGCAGCAGCCCGGAGCTGTGCGTAGGGAGAGAGAGAGAGGAGAGAGGGTCCTGAACACACCGGGGAACCGCGCTCCGTCTCCGTTGTTTCTCCCGGCTTCAGTCCCGTTACATGACAAACGCGCATGTTGTTCACCGGGAACCCAAAGCTGCCGAAGGAAAACCCGAATTCAGTATGTTTTAATCATCAGTACCAAATGGTGCAGTTATTGGCTGCGGTTTGAGAAGAGAAGGAGCTGGGAGCACTTATAGATGTTATCCTCTGCAGTAGATACATTATAGTAATTTATCTTGGACAGAGAGGCTAAGCAAGGTGTCAGGTAAGTTATTGGAATGATTTATCTGGTCTCTTTTTAAAGATGTGTGTGTTAGTTAGTCATTATGAGTGTGCGCTAATAGTACGGATGCGTGCCAAACTTTGCTGGATAATTCCGTAGAAAGACTTGGATGCGAGATGAAATAGCCTTTGTTGTGGTTACATTACCTCTAGGACAATGCAAATGTCTTGGATTTATTTTTCAGCAAGTGAGTAAGTAATTATTGGTGACTCCAGGCGCTAATGCCAGTGGTAGATTAATAGTGCAGAGAATAAAGGAAACAAATGAGTAGCGATACTCCTCATCAATTATGCCAGACAGCTCAAGCAGACATATTGTATAACACTATAAGAAAACGATTAAAAGTGGTTGGCCACAGCTAATTTCTTTTTGCATTGTGCCAAAAAATCCCCCTCAGAGCAGCTAATAAAATTGAAAAGCCTAAATATTGATTCAGCGCAATCAGTAAATGAATGGCCGGGTAGCCCATTGAGGACGGAGACAAACGCTTCCATGGTTACATCCAGGATCTCCAGTGTGATTACTGCGCTTTGTGTGGGTTTTCCCTCTCCCACTGAAATAAAACAACAATTCAGGGGGAACTGCCACACATGGTGGGCTGGAGACCCTCTCATAAAGGCTCCGTTGACTAATCTATAGGCTTACTTTGGCCATAAGTAATCTCGGCACACTTTGAGTTGCGCACATGTGCTGTTACTGTTAAATCAACGAGTGGTGACTGTAGTCTCATTGTGCTGCTGCTTCTTTGCGTATTTTATGCAGATGTCCAGGCTCCATCATTTACAGTTGATGGGGTAGGGTTTTCAGTCCTTGAATAATTGAATATGTCCACCTTGTCTCTAATTGACTTGACATGATGTCATCTGGGTGCGTCCCTTGCAAATCTCTTTTGTTGCCTCCTCTGTGGTGTTTCAGGAGAGTTAAATCCCCTTTCTCACCAGGGAGGAAGGGAGGGAGCTGCTTCTGTGTCCATTCATCACTTACACCTGCTCTTCCTTCAGCGCCAGCCTTCCCTGTTGACTGTTTCTGAAATGTATCTTTGTGTAAAAGGGTGAAATTATCTTCAGTCTTTTGAATAATTATGTCCTCCCTCTTTGTTTGCAGCAGCAAAACTTGCCGTTAAAAAACCTAACATACAACCTATAATCTCTATTTCCACTATCACAAACCCACAGGTCATAGTCCGTCTGTTGGTCTATTTTTGTAGATTTGGATCCTCAAAGAACCACACTTGCTCGGAGCTCAGGTCCTTTGTTTGTCAGTGTTTATGTCATCGCCTGGCAGGGGTCAGCCCCCAGTCGCCTGTGTGAGGGCCTGAATGTGATTCACTGGGCGGAAACTGTTTTACTGCCTGCCTCTCTCTCCTTCTGTCTCACCCCTCTAATGGTTGCACAGTACAAAAGGGGACAGTGCCATAAACGGAGCTTGTTCATTGATGAAAGGTGCTGAAGTGATGCACATTGCAGACAAGATGAGATTGATGTTTTCTGGGGATGAGAGGGCTTGCGTTCCCAGTGTGTGGGGAAATAGTAGATGAAGGCGCAGCTCTGCATGCTTAACCGCCCTGCAACAGGCTGCATGCCGCCTCAGCTGATCTGTGCACCAAGGATCACTGTTGGGGACAAGAGTTGTAAAGGATATCTTCATCTGGAACTCATGGTCTGATAGCAACTCTATATATGGCAATATTCATGATCCTACAGTAGTTCCATATTACTTCCTTGACACATCCCCGCTAGTTATACTGAAAGTTTGGTTGTTGTTCTGACATGTTTTCTGCATCTTACCTTATCCTCTTAGATAATCACATGAAAACTCAGGCCCGAGGAGAGCGATGCTCACTTATATAGCACTTGTTATTAGGATAAGTAAACACAATGCAAAATGTTAGACTTCTCCTCAGTGAGTGTTCTGTATTTGCATTTTTCATGGTGCGAAAACCCATAGACCTACCGACTATACATCTCTTATTAGTTATGGTCTGGTTTTTATTTCCACTCTTTGAGAGGATAAAATGTTGCACTTACTTTCCCAGTTCTCCCTCAAATGACCATTTCCCTCAGAAGTACCTTGCAGTAGAACAATTCATAATCCTTTGGTGCAAGACAGATGAATATCTTAAAACCTGCCAACACCGGGGGCTGACCTGGCTCACTGAATGCTTATTTGAGTGTATGAACCATAGGTGTTAGAATAACATTTTTGAAACACCAAACCAAATTCCAGAGACATTTTTTGGTGCAATAGGTTCTTAGCTTCTACATTTTTGCATGCACAGTTGACACGTGGAATGTTTCCCCATACTTGCTTCCCCATACTTACACAGTACAAAATGCTTTATATTTGTACAAATAATGAAGAAAACTTTAGTAAGGCAAACAGGGTCAACAATATTTCCACAAGCAAGAGTTCCTGTTGCTTTTTTGGATTTATGCTGTTTTCCGTGGCTGCTCATTTAAGCAGTTTTCCAGGCTGTACATGAAGAGATTTAGAGATAATCGTTCTAAAACTGAGGTTAGTTTCAAGCCATCTCATTCAGTGTTTGGTGTCATTTCAGTTTATTGCTTCTCAATTATGTGATATTTGGCCAATGTGGAAAAAAATGCACTACATGTGGGCAGACAGTATAATTAATGCTCTCAACCCTATGAGGAGACATCAGAGAGACAAGGAAGGACAAAGAAGAATAAACAAATGCCTAACAACAACTTAAAAGAAATTTATCTATTCCACTCACAGAATTGAAATTTATTAGTTTATAGTGCCAAGATCTGATGTAGCTCATTTTGCATTTTCTAATTTCTAATCAACATGCCTCCCAGCAACAAATAACAAAGGAACCATGCTAGTTTATTCACATCTTCCTGTTGTTTTATTTGACTGGGATCATCAAAGCTGATGCCAGTATGTGTGTAAACCCTGATTTTAGATTTACTGAATGGACAAATTCAAGTTGTAAATAAGTCTCTTAGAATGTTCTCTGGGATTTTAATTGTTTGTTTTCAAAAATCATTTGACAGTTCATGCTTACGCACAGGGGACAGTATCATGTTTTAGTAATTGTTGTCCTTGGAGCAGAGCGACAGGAAAGTGGTGGGCCCTCAGCGATGGCCAACAATCCTGTGGTCTTTTCAGTGGGTCTGACCAACCGCATATTGTTCCCGGTGAGAGGATGCTAGTACGGTCGCTGCAGCAAACCCTCAGCCATGACCTCGCTGTCAACTCTTATAATCACACTTGCATACATACACACACTTACACACACACCTATTGTTATATCTTGCATTCTGTAGGGGTAATGATGAGATTTACAGCTGCTCAGCATCTCTATTTGAGTATTAAACTTGAACTCTGACCTCTTGTGATGTTAGTAAAGCTGGTGGCCTCAGATAGGTTAGAGCCCGCCCCTGCCTTCTTTGCTGAGTATATTTAAAAAACATCCCACCACAAATATTTTAATTAATCAGTCAAACAGTGATTTCATTTCTAATATTTTTGTAATATGCCCACCACATTCTATGGCAATTAGATTAATTAAAGTAATTAAATCAAACTAAAGCAGCTAAGGAAAGTCAGTGCAGGAGGCACACAGAGCAACATCCTTTTCTCAGATGTCAAAACATAGTGAAAAGTAAAAGAACATTTAGGAAGACTGTTTCCTCTGGCCTCTGGTTCACATTAACATGGCTAGACTCTAAATTAAATGAAGTCTCAAGGACTGTTGAAAGAAGGATTACTTTGATTTTTTTCATTGAATGAATTATTATCCCAAAGCTTTAAACCTGCTTCACAGCCTTAATTTGATAAATGAATGCACTATTCGGTTGCTCTTCACTGCTCCAATTCTTTAAACATGCTGCCCCCCTACATGGGTCCCTCTGTCCGGCCATAAACCCCCATGAGTTCTACACCTCACCTAGATGATTTTGGGGGAGCCACATGGAAGACATCATGTGGTGCCCCCTCCTTCATGTCCTTTTTTAGACAGGTCAGGTTGAGTGGGTCACACTTTGCGTTCAGCTGTAAGGACATCATGGCTATCCATCCATAGACCCTTCCTTCTTTGTTAGTACTACTGCCTCTCACGAGGGTCTTTGTGAGTGTGTGTGTGTGTGTGTGTGTGTGAGAGAGAGAGAGAGAGAGAGAGAGAGGCAGAGGCAGTGAGCCACAGAAAAGAGGAGTCAGGGTGCCTATTTAAAACATAAACCTGTTGATGTAGGTCACCGACTCTTAGATCAATCTTCCAAAACCCTTAGTTCTCTCCATTACCCTCACCATTATTTATCCCCCAGTGTGTGTGTGTATGCCCCAATCTGTATTATTCCCCCCCCCCCCCATCTGCCCCGTCCCGTACACCAGCCCCTCTTTCTTTCTTTTCTTGTCTT